CTGGTTATGGGCCAAGAGACCCTGCCCTGGGAGTCTGAGGACAAGGCATGGTCCTGGGCTGGGTCACACGGTCTCTAAGGCCCTGGAAGTGGAGGCTCCAAAGCTGATCTGCTGGGTGACCTTGGGCAGGCAGGGCACCTTTCTAGGCCTCGCTTTCCTCATGTGATGGATGACTTCTAAGGTGCTAGCTTCAAATCTGCAACAATATGACTCTATGATCTTTCTCTGTCAGACACATCTAACCCCATCCCTGATTTCCCACATGCTCAGCAAGGCCACCTTTGTTCTTCCCCTTTGACACTCAAAGCCCCGCATTCCAAAATAGTCTTGGAAGCCCCATCAGTGGGAAAGCTGCTGTGTGGGACATTACTGACAGGAGAACACTAGCATTCCTGGAGCCAGATGAGCTAGGTTTGAGTCGTGACTCAGGCCATCTCCCGAGGGAAGCCCTACCTGCTCTGCTTCACAAAATGAGCACGTGTTTACTTACCTGCTGTTACCCCTCCAGCAGAATGGTAAGCTCCCTGAGGGCAGAAACTGCTTTTTATTTTTGTCTTTCTATGGCTAGCTCCTTGCACATCACAGATACTGAATAAATGTGTGATGAATCGAAATTACTTCCCTTTCTGAGAGTCAGTTTCCACATTTAAAAATGGAGATGATAGTACAGCATTACCTGAATCCAGAGGACTGAGCACGCCACCCACCTCACGCCAGAGATGATGGACTTAAGCATTTCTGGAAGTAGCCAAAGTAGGAATTTGATTTGTTGGACTATGTAGGCATGCTGTGAAGAGTTTCTCTTGTTTGTCTGTTTTTCCAGTGAGGGTGGGGGTGGGGGTGGGGGTGGGGCAAGTGAAGAGGAGAGAAAACCTTTTTTTAAAAGAAAATGAATAGATTAGAAAATCCTAATGGAATGGCTGAATGGCTGAAAAGTTATCGTGGTATTAATTTAAATGGAAATAGTTACTGAGCCAGGTCTAGTTGCCTGTATTTAATGTTCAACATTAAATTCTAATGAAATATCTAATGATAAAAAGAAAAAACGTAAAAGCATTTTGTAACAATAAAGTACTACAGCTCACATTTAGAAAGCATATTACTTTTTCAAAGGATCTTCTTCACAACCCAGTGAGTTGACTGGGTCCATTTGGAAAATGTACAAGGCTCCAGAACAGCTGGGACTGAAATACTGTCTTTGTTTCCCCAGTACTGTGTTTTGTACACAGTAGGCACTTAATAAATGCTTGGTGACTTGAAGAGGAGAAAACTAAGGACCTGCAAGATTAGCCCCTGATCGCCCATTTTTAAGGGCTAAGGGTGAAAGCTCCAGCATCATTGCATTTGGACTTGGAAGGGGCCTAGAGGTCATCCGGTCCAGACCTATCAGTTTAGAGTTGAGCAAAATGAAGGAGAGAGAGGCAAACTAATTTGCTCAGGGTCACACCTACAACAGAGCTGCACTTCACACTAAGGTCCTCAGTCTCCAAATCTGCTCTTTCATCCTCGGCTCTTTCTCATTTCCTACCCCCCATTCTGCACCCTGCCTCCCATATTCTGCGGTGTTGCTATTACCTCTCATAAAAGGCCAGGTTCCTCCATTATAAGGCTACCCACAATTGGAAAACATGAGGGCGACAGAGCTCCCTCCTAGCTGTCTCTGGCAATCTGCCCCATCCAGAACTGCCTACCTTGCAAGCTTGGCCCTGGAACTGCAACTGTAATGTGATTTCAAAAGCCAATGCTGAATTTGGAAATGAACTCTTGGACAACAGCCGGTCTACCCTTTTTGGCCGGGCACGATTGTATCCCCTTCACGGCCCACCGAGCCTTTTGTTTTACCATTCATTCAAACACAATGTTCTTATTACAATGGTCTGGGAGTCCTCCATCGAATCCAGTGCCCTCAAAACCATATGGGAAGCCTCCTGAACACTCAAAATAAGTTTGCTACAAGCAAAGGTGTGACAACATCCCAGCTGATCATGCCACTTACTGGGATTTCACAAGAAGGAGATTGAGAGGCAGTCTATCAAATTATAAGAAAGAGACAAAATGACATGAATTAAAAGTCTGAATTTTTCATGGAACTCCACATTAATACTTATACACATTACCTAAGCCTAGTAGAGATCTCCTAGATAAGAAATATAGAACCACAGAGTTGGGGAAATGCAGGCTGGCTTTCCCCTTGGTGACTACCAACTTTAATTCTGTGGTATATGGCCTTTTTCCTCTGCGCAAAAATTTGATGTTGAGTGAATCTGCATGTTTCATTGGCTGTATGTTGTCTATTGTACCCAGCTCCTGCCAATATGTCTCATTTGATGTACTGTGAGATTAAAAGAGAACGCACAATGTTTAGAAGGTACTAAAAGCTACCTGAGACCTCTTGCTAAGTCATTTTCAAAACAACTTTACTGATATAAGGATACCAAAAATGATGAAAATTCAAAGGCAGCCCATGAAATTGACAGCCAAATAACTTGGGCTTTGAGGTATTATTTGCCTTTTTTCCCCCAGTTAGCTATATGGATGGCTTTTAAAAGAGGGCACCTCGATCTTCTCAGTTTTAGGCGAAGGCCCATCTCCTAGGCCTAATAAAAACGTGCTCGATGGGTCCTTGTACAGACTACATGCTCCTTTCCAGAAGGCCTGTCATCTGCACAACACCGAGCACAATGGATGAGGGTGTAAACGTTCCTTTATTTGCAGGTATCAGGTTAAATCAATCTTAATTTGAAATGTCTAATATTCATGAAGTCACTCAGGAGGAGTTACAGGTACCAATCATTTTTCTGTCCAAAGCCACTATCTGAAGCTTGGCTTTTCATTTCACTGAAGCAAAATCTAGAACATTTATTGAAAAGGGGCAGAAATGCTAGCATCTCTTTGAATGATCGGCTGTCCTGGGGTAAGGAACAGAGCGCCTTCAGAACCAGTCCAGGCTGCCAGAGCCTGTGTCCTAATTCCTGTTGTGTGACTATCACTGAGGGCTTTATTGGGATATGGGCACACAGAGGCAGAATCAGACTCAATGGTATATGCACAGTTTAGAAATGAAGATGTGATACCATTAGGGACACCACACACTTCTCTGATCTTGCCTACATCTAAAAAACATTCCAAGAGAGTAGAAACAATTAAAGTGCTGTTTTTGTTTTGTTTTGTTTTGTCTGGGGGAGGGGGAGGATCTCTGAGGATAGCCCCCTGTTCCAAGGGATAAGCAAGGTATTGAAAATCTCTCCCATCTCCCTCCACATAAAGCTTATTTATGATTCCAAATTAGTTCCAGCCCATTAGCAAGCAGAAAAGCACAACATTAAATTAATTGTTCCATCAATTTCTACTTGACACTGCAAAGATAATTAAGTATCTGAGAATTCAGTAGGGGTTTTCTTTGGAGCTGAGTTCAAGCTCTAAACCTCTAGCCGGTCTCACAAAGTTACTATGTCTAGCAGCATTGGCCAACCTCCTTCCTTGAGAAATCTGCTATATATTTTTAGCTGAGAGCCCAAATACAAATATGGCAGCTGTGCTGGCACATTGAGCACAATGAGTGCTGTGATCACATCCCAGCCCTTTGCACTAAAATGAATTTACAAGACTGTGGCTCTGAGGAGGCTGCAATTATCACTATGGCCAAAGGTGTTTCAAAATGATATAATGTGTGAGGGACAAACACATATTTCTCATATTTTGCAACTGAAAGTATGACACTGTGGTGTGATATTTCTTGATTTTTAGATTAAATGAATTGGAATGTAAGTGATAAACGTTTACGTAACACCAAGCTATATTTACCACATTGTGCAAAAGAAAAAAAATAGAGACCACTGAGAATTATATAACTATGAACACTTCATGAATACACACAGCAAAGAACTATGACTATGGAGCACCATGAAGGAAGGCAGCACCAAAATAATTTGCCTTACTACACTATGATGTGGGGATACTGAAATCAGAAATGGACTCCAAGGTCTCTCCCAGCTCTGACAGCATGTCTAGTTCCGCTATTCTGTCAGAAGAATCATGATAGCACAGACTTAAAGTCAGATGGGACCTTAGGTCACTGTTCCCAAATCTCTCAGTTTACAGATGAGGAAGCTGAGTCCTAGAGAGATGAAGTGACTTGGCCAGGGTCACACAGTTAGGAAGCGTTTGAGGTAGGATTTGAACCCTGGTCTTCCTAATTCCAGGTCTCATACTCTGACTACTACGTTCCATTGCTGCTAAGGTTCATTCCAGCTCTAAAACGCTCTGATGCTAACATCTTCGCTCACTCTAAATTCTAATGACCTATTCTGGTTCACTTGCCAGAAGACCCTCAGGATAGCGCCATCAATGGCACCACAACAGAGCCCTCTTCTATGATGACAGCGATGCTCAGGACCGACTAGCTCCCTCAATGTACCTTCACAGACCCAGAGAAAACACATGCCTCTCAACATTCAGATTCCTTCCATGAGAAAACAAAGACACACTAACATCTCCCCCCCTTGTACACCCCTGGGCACATCTTCCCTCCAGGGGCATCTTTCTGTCTGTCCCTCAGTCCGATGCCACACTGACAAAGTGGCTCAGTGAGCACTGGCCCCAGTAGCTGACACTTCCAGGGTTCACCACGTCCAGCTTGTCTGTTGGTCACTGTTCAGCTGGATACTCTAATCTGCTCAAAGGAAGGGCTGTTTTAGAACGCTCTGAATGAGAACCCATCAAAATCAGAGGACACTTTGGTCCCTAAGTCCATCAGCCTTTTTTCCCCCCTCCTTTGGCAAGGTAATTAGGGTTAAGTGACTTGCCCAGGGTCACACAGCTAGTAAGTGTTAGGTCTGGTTTGAGACTGGATTTGAACTCAGGACCTCCAGACTCCAGGACCAGTACTCTACTACACCACCAAGCTACCCCATCCGTCAGCTTCTTTCTCTGTTCAACATTATTACTGAAATTTCCCCTCCATCATTTTTCCCTGTCCTCACCATAGTCTGATTACTTACGTTAACAAGTGACTCCGTGAACTTGATGTGCAGCCTGTAATTAGACAGTGCGATGACGGCATCCTCAGCCCGGCCCACGAACTCTGTGCTCTCACCGTGAAGTTCCAGGAAAGGAACCTTCAAAACGGAAGAAGAAATCTTTCAAAGTTCAGAAGCAGTCAAACAAGTTCTTCAAAGCCGATCCCTACGGTGTAACCCATTTGCTATATTAAAATGCACTTATTCAAATAGTAATAGTTGTAAAGTGTATTTAACTGACTTTATGTTTAAAGTTGAGGTCGAACTTTTCCACAATGAATACTCTGACATGTAGGTTCAAATACTATGATCCTGCATATGGCTGATTACAAGTCTGCAGAAGCTGGGTAAGGCACCATCTCTCTTAAATGAAGCAAATTATTTGAGCTATAGGACATCTGAGATCCCTTCAAATTCTGAAATTCTTTGATGGGATAAAAAACAGAGAGAGATGTTGTATACAGGTCCCTCTCACAGCACTCTTGAATTCTTGGGATGTCACCATGTCACTCACACAGGGGAAATGCTACTAAGCCTTAGAAGCTTTAGAAAAAACCAGAGAGAGAGCAATGCCTCAAGGAGTAGGATGGCAGAGCCATCACCGTAACCCTGGAAGTTCTTGAAAGTGCTCTCTGCACGACCACCCTCGGAGGTAAGTGGTCTAAGTATGATTCTCCCCTTTTAATAGACAAGCTCATTAATATGCACTAAAGCTCAGAAGTTAATGGTCACACAGCGAGTAGATGCCAAAGCCTTGACTGAACTGAGGCCCAGCATGCTTCCTACAACACTGGCCTGCCTTGAAATAAACATTCACCAAGTGCCATCAGGGTACATATGGAGGAGGTGCAACAAGAGACACAGAGATGAATGAGACACAACCACTGTCCTCAGGGAACGTCTAGTCTGGCATTACAGATAAGACATGTCCATGTCTTAAGAGAAGGCTTAAGGGTGGTGGCAATTCTCACAAGGGTGAGATCAGGGAAGGTTTCCTGCAGAAGGGGGCAGTTGAACGAGGCCATGAAGAACTTCCATGGAGAGTGAATGGGGGGTGGGGTTTAGGAGAGAGGAGGGGTTTGAAGGAAGAAGGACCATTGTGATCAAAAGTGTAGAACATAACTGGCAATGGAAATTGCCCATTTTGGCTAAGTGTAGGACATGTGAAGGGGAAGCAATGCGAGACAAGCCTTGGAAAGTAGGTTGGGACCAGACGATAGAAAGTTCTGATTGCCAGTCCAGAGTTTGGACTTTACATGACAGGCAATGGAAAGGAATGAAAGGTTTCTGAGCAGACAAGGAACATACTGGAGCTGGGATTATGTCATACAGGGAAAACGGAAAGGGAGAGACCACAAAGGCAGGGAGCTAACAGGAGGCCACAGAGCCTTGAACTAGGGGAGCTGGGGCTGAATGGAGAAGGCAGATATGAAGGAGTCCCATCCAAAAGCTTGGCGACCTTGTTAGCAACCACACAACTACGGTTTGGTCAAAAAGGACAAAAGCGACCTAGTCATTACCTGAAGATTCTCATCCTCTCGAATCAATTGCTTCCTGGGAAAGATTTGATTGGCCTGGATGCATTCAAGGCTGTGCTGTGTCTCTTCATCCTGGAAAACCCCAAATTTCTGAATAATGTTGATGCTGCTCTTATTCACCCACAATAGGGCTTGTTCAACAATGACTAATGGGACAACCATAAAGAGATTCCAGGGACCCTTGAAAAGATCACTGGGCACTGCAGACCATCTGAATTAAGAGAACTCCTAAAAGTATCCCAATCCACGTGGGTCACCATCAGAGACAAAAGCAAGTGCTTTGACACCAAATGTATAGCCAAAAAGAGGATACTGAGGATGGTTCAACCAAACCACATTTTAATGAAGTTGCTGGTACAGACTCTTGGGGAAACAAATAATTTCTTTTCATTTGTATAAAAGGAGGCATCTTTCACTTTAGGTCATCATTCTGGGCAGAAGGGCTTATCTGGTGGACACACAGTTTATTAGAAAACCAATCCTGAAATCGAGATACCAGCTGCTTAAAAAGCAATTTTCAAAAGCCAGACAAAGTCACGCAAACACAAGAAATACAACCGTCAAGATACTGGTAAACATTTAAGTTACATTATGTTTCGGCAGTTAAGTAAACCTCCTCAGAGAAAGATTTTTAACCAAACAAAATGGACAGTCACATACAGTTTTGAAGATTAAACCTATCACCAACTTTGAACATAAAATTCCAATTACATAATTCACCACTATAATCAGATCCCAAATATAAGTTAAAGCCTATGTGACATTTATGTTAATGTCGAATTAGGATATGAACTGATCTGGTGACTATATGCTAGGGCTGCAATCACTCTAATATAAATGGTCTGGAGGACCCCAAACCTAGAAACTTGAACCACCAAATCGTACATTTTCTTCCCTCCCTGCCCCTCCGCACCACCCCCCCCCTCAAGAAACCAGAGACCATCTCTGTGTTCCTGTGTATCCAGGCTCACTGATTTCTCCCACTGTTGACCAGGGAAGGGAAAAGAAGAGCCAGTGAGCATCAGATGGAGAGAAAGCAGAAAGAGCAGCGCGTCTGGCATCATAAGACTGAAATTCAAGTCACAACTCGGATTCTTTAGAGTTGTACAACTATAGCGAGAGTCCCTTCCCTTCTCTGAGCCTCAGTTTCCCCATCTGAAAAGTGAGGATCACACTTGCACCAGCTATCTGACAAGGGTGTACTGTGACCCGAGTCCCCTGGAAGGTGCCAATGGACTCACATGGACGGCAGACCCATCTGTTTGGTGGAATCTTGGTCACGCCCTCTCCTAAAACAGCACACCCCAAAGCCTTCAGGTTTTATCTGACTTCATGAAGTACCAGTGGCAATCTCTGGCCTCACCACATGACTGCCCAATCTTCTCTTCCTAGCCTGCATTTTCCTGATGACAGATATCTTTGACTCCTGTACCTCCTTGGAGATAACACCTGGTTCTAGGGTGCAGCCTGCTCCCACCTACTCTGTGCCCTTCCTCTGCTCTCTGTGGGAGAGTCATTTTCACTTCTTCAGAGATGGTCAGATCCCAAGCCTTGGTGCCATTCAGCAGCACCAGGAGAAGGATGATCTTAGAAAGATGGCTCTTGGTTTTCAGGAGGTGTAAGGTATCATCAAACACAAGTGCTAAATAAACTGCTTATTGTGATTGTTGCTGTATTTAAAAGGCCCATGCATTAAGCTCAAGAACGGTGTGCTTTTCAGTTAAATCACTGTCTCTCTTTAAAAATAGAAATCAAAAGGTGATTTTTGTTATTCTTTTCAAAACTCTCCAAAAGGAAATTCCTAAGGACACGGAGGAAAAAGGCCAGTTGAACTCAGCTGAATTCTGAGCCTTTTCTTGGACTCCTACTCCCAGCTGGAGAAGAAGGGCTGCAAAATGACAGGAGAGGCCAGCGCTCCCCTGTACCTCCAGCAGGTCGTTGAAAGGGTGGAACCCCTCCCCTCAGTGCCCTGCTGCCTGATCGCACCTCACAGCCAGAAGACACAGTCAAGAAGATTTTGTTGGGTCCTGGTCGGTCCGGAGGGGAAAGATTTGCCCCGTGGCATTGCAATGGCCTGGCAGCAGCCCAAGTTGCCTCCCGCCACCTGAAGAGAGCAGTGCTACGTAGCTTCCTCCCAAGGGACGCCCTGACCTCACTGTCCTCGTGCACACGGCCGGGAATACCAACCTTTAAATGGCCGAGAGCAGAAATGAGGCAGGAGGCCATTTACTCACCCACCCCGAGTGGCACTGTCAGCCCCACCTCCCCCCACTGTGATGACCAAGTCCAGTGGCTATAACCCAAGAAGTGACTGTGAGCAGGATGATGTGCTGCCATAAGAGGAATGACAAAGAGTGGAGGGAAAAGAACAAGGTGTCAGTGGCCACTGACAAGCCTAAGCAACTGTGGAGCAGCCTCTGCTTGCCTTCGTTAGGAGAAGGTGGGTTCCCCTGAGATCAGTTTTTATTTTTAATTTGATAAAGGCACTCTAGACTGGGAGCTCCTTGAGGGCAGGGGCTGTCTTTGCCTTTTTTCGGATCCTCCGTGCTTAGTACAATACCGGGCACATAGTAGGTGCTCAATAAATGTTTCTTATTTACTGACTTACTGCTCCTTGAACACACAAGGATGAGGAAAGACGTAATGAGTTACGTAGGGGCGCACAGAGCGACAGGATTAGTTGCCAGGCCACTCGATGACGGGGCCCTGGCAGGATCCTCACGCAGGTGTGTGTGTGTCAAACTGGAAGGTTCAGAAGGAGAAAGCTCCAAGTCACAGAGGCCTAGAAGAGAGGAGGCAGCCAGTTTCTCCCAAGGCGCCGAGCAATGACATGTGGATGGGCAGGCCAGATCCCAGACCAGAGTTCTCCTACACTCACAGCCAGCAGCTCTCCCATTCTCCCTCACCTCTCTGAGCTCGGGGAGTCTCCTGCTGGCCCTACCGCCTGATGCATAGGGCAATCAACAGGTGTGCAATAACTTCAGCTTAGATGAGGAAGCAGCAGGGTCAGAGGCCCTGGAGCCTCGTTGGGAGAGCCTGGGGAGTGTAGAGGGAAAAGGGCTGGCTCCCACCCCTACTTGTCTCCACGGCTGCTGTGGCACTGGGACAAGTGGTCTCTGCTGCCAGGGCCTTGACCTTCTCATGTCTAAAATGGAGTTGGCTTCCAGATCCTCTCTAGAGCTCTTCTCTAGAGCTGCCAGGCACCTAGACAGGGTATGCTTTCACCATCTAGAACACAGAAGGGGCTTAATAAATGCTTGGGCTCATTTTATGTTGGAAGTACCCTTCCAGTTCCACCATTTTAACGATTCCTGCCAGTCCTAACAATAGATTCACGTCACATTTTAGCTTCCCTAATGCCAATTCCAGTTATCTCCATCCTCCTAGCTTTAAGGAAAAACTTTTTCCCCCAAAGGACAGTGTAAAACACTAGGAAAAAAGTTACCTTGTATTAAAAATGCAATGAAAGTATTTTTGTCTAGCATGTTGGAAAACAAAGAAAATGGAGGAAGAGGTGCGGGGGGGGGACTGATGGAGGGGTAGCAAAAGCCAAACCCATCTCATTCAAAGACGAAATAAAAGATGTTCCAGCTACTTTCCAGTATGTGGATCCCACTGACAACCTGTGAGGGAAGGAAAGAGCAGGGATTTCCACATAAATCCCCACCACATCATACAAATCAGAGGAACAGCCGGCATCTTTAGAAGGCTTTCCCTACAATGTGTTTTGTATGATTGCACATGTATAACCCATGTCAAATTGCTTGTCATCTCAGAGAGGGGAGAGGGAGACAATTTGGAACTCAAATTTTAAAAAAAGAATGTTAAAAACTGCTTTCACATTTAATTGGGGAAAAAAATAAAATATGATTAAAAAAAAAGAATGCTTTCCATACCTTAACTCACTAGAACCTGCCAATGACCTTGTGAGGTGCTGAGGGCATCAGATCAGTAAGCCCCACTTTACATTTGAGGACACCAGGGTTGCTCTGGAAGTCGTGTGGGGGCCCAGGGCTATCCCCCTGCAAGGCCTGCACTCTTCCCACCACCCTTGCACTTGTGACACTGCTGGTATGCATTGGACTTGCACCCCACAACCAGCAAGAAGAAAAAAGATCCAGTCTCTACTGAGACTTACACAGAGATGGCCACTTATTATCAACCTCATCACTGTATTGACATCAGAGAGCCACAGTTATGTGAGAACGAAAAGGGAATCTTGTAGATCATGAAAAGGAAGGAAAATGACTTTGCCAAGGTCTCATAGCTAGTTAGTGGAAGAGAGAAGAGGCCCAGGTAGACGATGACTTCTTGGTGCTTTATCGTTGGTGGTTGAGTAGACCACCTCGACTACACAAAGTATGAGACAGCTGGGAAATAAAGGGAAGAGCATCAGGCTTGGGGTTCAGAGGCCTGGATTCAAGTTTTCCAGTTCTGAAACTTATTAGGTATGTAATCACAGGCAAGTCCCTTAATTAACCTCTCAAAAACTCAGTTTTCTCATCTGTGAAATGAGAATAGCACTAATATCAAAGAGGGATTGCAAGCACTGCATTGAACAATAAATAAAGCACTACACAAACAGGAGGTATAATCATGATCTGGGAAGGATATCAAGGGAGATGCTCCCACCTACAAGTTCTCGGACAGAAGACCAGTAGCACAGTAGAACAGGGAGGCGGCTGCATGGGAATGAGGGATATCTGGAGGGACAGAGCACCGAGCTCTCTGATTCAAACTAGCTGGGTGACTGGGAGCAAAGAGCTTCTGCCTTCTAGCTCACAGTATCTACCTAAGAATACCAGCTGCATTTTTATAGCACTTTAAGACTTGCAAAGAGCTTTACAAATATCATCTCACTGGATCCTCATAACCACCCTGGGACAGAGGTGATGTGTTATCTTCCCCATTTTACAGCTGAGAAAACAGAGGCACTCAGAGGTGAAGTCAGCTGCCTAATGACACTCAGGCAGTGAGCGTCTGAGGCCAGATTTGGGCCCGGGTCTTCCTCACTCCAGGTCCCATGCTCTGTGCACTGTGGCGACCTCACCTCCAAAAACAAGTATTCAGGTGACCTCTCAGAGCCCTCTGCTCTTTACAAAATGCTGCACTTTTGAGTGGCAGGTGGGCCAGGCCCACTAAGGCATGCTGCGCTGTCCTCATCTCTGCTGAGGAAGGCGCTAAACAACATGGCAGCCGTGTGTGGGGGTAGGGGGTGGGGGTGGAGGGGTTCATGGGGAAAAGCTACCCCAAAAACCAGTCATGTAAAATTCAGACCGGGGGAAAACGAGCCACATGCCTCAATGTCACAGAGTCCTCCTTCAAAGGAGTCCTCATGTGTTACCTCTCTAACCTCCAAGAGGGAGTCTCTCCCCTCCTGGGATCCCTCCCCCACTTCCCACAGGCTATACTCAAAGCTGTTGTATCAACTCATCACATACACTGGAATACTCTGCCAAGAGAAGGCATCAAATGCCTTCCTTCCTCCTCGCCTTCAGTACCTACTCTACTGCACTGCTAACTTAAATGAAGTAACAATCTAAAAACACATCTGTCCTCATGTCTCTAATGAAGCTTGAACTGAATCTGGTTCCTTCAGTTCCCTCTCTGTGCACCAGAATGAAGCCGCCGGGCTCCAGCAACTGTGTGGGAGCCCGGGAGCCGGAAGTGGGGCTATCAGAGAAGGTGATCCTTGGTAAGCACTTGGGCTCCAGCTTCCTGTCCCTAGGCCTTTCATGGAAGGGGATCTATATACTTCTCTGGTAAGGATCTCTGGTAAGGACTGGAGGTTTTTCAGAGTTGGGAGAAGGGGAAAAGAGACAGAATGAATGAATGGAAAATCATTTATGAAGTGCTATCTGTGTGCTGATGACTGTACTATGGACTGGGGATATAGCTACAAAGGCACAAAGTCCTTGCCCTGAAAGAGCTTGTATTCTGCCAGACAGGACACAGAGAGAGGATGTCCGGGCAAAGGTTCCAGGGCTTAGGAGGAGGGGCAGGAGAGGTGACTGGCCCACAGCTTCCATTCTGGGGAGCAGGGGCAGAAGAGAAGGAGCAGAGCAGGAAGCGCCAGTCTCTGGGAGTGCTGGGGAGGCATAGGGGGAAGGGAGTGAAGCATGGCGGGATCTGTCTCTTAGGCAGCCCCCAATCAGGAAAGAACAGAATGCCCATGTGTGTGAAAGGGGAAGATGAGGGATTATGAAGACCAAAGAGAAATCCTTTCTCTATATCTATTGATAAAAAAAATAGTTCACCATTAACATACAGTTTTACTTAGTTACAAGGTGCTTTCCTTACCACAAAGCACCAAGGTTCTCTCTCAGCTCTTTCAGGGACTAGTTTGATCACCATAATAATAAAAATAGCTAGCATTTTCCTAATACTTGAGGGTTTCTAAGTGCTTTACAAACATTATCTCTTCTGACCCTCACAACAACCCTGGGACATAAGTGCTGGTTATTATCCCCATTGTGCAGATGAGGAAACTGAGGCTGAAAGAGGTTCAGTGCTGGTAAAGGAGCCTGATAAATCTGGGTGACATCACCAGACTAGCAGCTTTGAGGCTTCTGGGCTTCCACTGGACAACACAGCCCCTGACCATAAAGCCAATGACTCTTTCTGCTTCTAAATCCTATACTTCTGAGAAGAGGCCAGAAGCAGATGAAGGTAGGTTCAAGAAACCTGGGTTATTTTCTTGACAAGAAGGCTTAATTTTGAATCTAGAGTTCAGCTGAATTACAAAGCTACTTCTGAGGCCAACATTTTTGCCTGGTGACTCCTTCTGCTTACCATGACAGGAAGCCCAGGTTAGGAGGAGGATCCTCGTCCTAGCTCAGCAGATGGCAAGGTTCTTCTTCCTGTCACAGTGAAATCTAGAGAAAAAGGGGGGAAAAAATGTCACTGGTTTTTTTCAGCTAATAACCTACTTTAAGTCTATGGATTTAGTAAGCTAACCAAAGCCAACTGGGAAAGGGTTAGCTATATCTGGCTAATTCCCACTCTACTGATATGTAAACCCAATAATTCACTTTTAAAAATCCCATTGGTCTTAACCTATTTCTGAGCAAACAGTGTTAAATGTCTTCGCTTAAACTGAGGAGTTAACATCGGTCTGATTATGCTGAAACCAGATTCTCTCATACACAGAAACAACTGTTTTGTGGTTCATTTCATAAACCAAGTGATACCCATAAAAATGAGAACAGGCAAAGCAAAAGCTCTGTACATAAAAATGAACTAGTTTTATTCACACACTCAAAGATTCCCTGTAGCGCATAAAAGACGAGCTGACTTTGGAAAATATCATGCATTCCTCCTTTAAAGGGAGAAGATAACTATCTGGTGAACACTGTCCTTGATTTAAAAAGAGCATCATGACCAATTTTCAAGCCTAAACATTCTTCTTACATATTAGCAGCTATAAAGTATTATGAATCTCACCCAATCAAGCCAACAGAGTTTTCCTATACCTACTACGTGTAAGGAATTGTGGAAAATACAGAGTATTTGAGGAGAATTTCCACAGTCAAGGAGAACAGCCAGCTCCCAGGTGTTCACGGAGAGTCCACTCCAAGCCTACCTCAAGGCCACTTAGGCACAGACAGATACAAAGATGACACTGCTAAGTATACTTAGGTACAAACAAACTGGACAGCAGAGAGAGAAAATGATCACTGCTGGTTTAGGGAGTCAGACTTCATAGAGGACTGAGTAGGACTCAGGCAGAGAGGAGGGAAGACAACACCTAGAGGTGTTCACGGCCAGGGCAAAGCAAAGAGCCAAGAATGGGCTATGGAAGTTGAGGAGGATGAAAAATTCAATCTGCCAGAATGCAGGATTTATGCAGGATAATGGTGAGATATAAGGTTGGAAAGGTAGACTAGGGCCAGAGAGTGCAAAGTTTGGAATACCAGGCCACAACGGTGGAATTCCCAGACATAATCGAGGAGGCAATGGGGAGTCACGTGGGTGTGATTAAAGCAATCTTTTAAGAGGACTGTTCTGGTATAATGACTCCCCTGCTCAATATACTCCAATAGACCAAACACAAAATCCTCTGGCATTCAAAGCCTTCTGGCCCCTGGCCCCTTCCTACGTCTCCACTCTTCTTACGCCTTACTCTCCACCAGGCACTCTTTGATCCAGTGGCACTGGCCTCTGAGCTTCCCCACAAACAGGATGCTCCATCTACTGGCTCTGGGAATTTTCACCGGCTCTCCGCCAGGTCTGGTATACTCTCCTCCCTCTTCTCCAACTACTGACCTTCCTGGCTTCCTCTGAATACCAATCAGAATTCTACCTTCTCAAGGAAGTCTTCCCCAAATCCTCTTAATTGCAGGGCCCTCCCTCTGTTAATGATTTCCTATTTGTCCTGCATATAGGTTGCTTGACATATCTGTTTTCATGTCTTCTCCTCCTTTAAATTTTAAGCTCCTTGAGGGCAAGGCCTGTCCTCTGCCTCTTTCTGTATCCCCAGGGCTTAGCTCAGTGCCTGGACCGTAGAAGTGCTTCATCAATGTTTACCGACTGACTGACTGACTGGCAGAGACTGGAGAAGAAGAGACCAGTTAGGAAGTTACTGCAAAATCCTAAATATGAAGTGGTAAGGAGCAAGGGGATTTCCAGTAAATAATCTTAGTGACTGACTGAATAGAGGGATAGAAAAAGAAAAGAATTGGGCAGTTCAAAACAAGAGATGATGACGATGATGATGGAGGAGGCAGGGAGATGCAATCTCATCTCTTTAGCAGAGTCAAAATTACACAGCGACTGGCTGATTTTTGTTCTTGGTGCAGTCTTTCCATTCAGACCATTGTGAGTCAGTGTGTATGTTGTTTTCATTCAGATTTCAGTAAGTGTCATTTTATGGGGAGGAAGAAACGGGATTTTCAAACAGTTCTTTTCATTTCATTAAAACCTGATTTTATTTCAGATTCTGATTCTCTCCCTCCCACTTCCTCCTCCACTGAGAAAGCAAGAAAAACAAAACCTATTACAAGAATGTATAAGCAAAACAAAGTCTTGCCCTGCGACATTCAAAAAAACCCCCAAAACTGCAAATCTGTACTCTAAGTCATCACCCCTCTTAGGAAGTGAGCAACATGTTTCATTTGAGTCCTCTAGAATTGTGGTTGGCTGCTACTATAAGGAGGCAACTGTGTGGCACAGTAGATAGAGCCCTAAGTGTGGAGTCAGGAAGATCTACGTTCAAATCCGGCCTTAGACACTTATTAGCTTTGTGATCCTGGTGAAATCACTTAATCTGTTTGCCTTAATCCACTGGAGAAGAAAATGGCAAACCAATCCAATACCTTTGCCAAGAAACCTCACGGACAGTATGGTCCACGGGGTCACGAAGAGTCAGACATGACTGAACAACAACATTACTCCAATAAGAATTCCTAAGTCTTTCAAAGCTGTTTGTCTTAACAATATTTTCGTTATTGCATAAATTTCCTGGTTCTGCTCTGTTCATTCTCTATCAGTTCATACAAATCTTCCCAGCTTTCTCTGAAACCATATCCTTCAATCACATTCACAGACCACAACTTGTTTAGCCACTGCCCAATTTATGAGCACCCCCTCAATTTTCAATCTGTTCCCATCACAAAGAGCTCCTATCAATACACACACACACACACACACACACACACACACACACACACACTTTTTTTTTCTATGTGGATCTTTTTCCTCTTTTCCTGGTCTCTTTGCGGTATAGGCCTGGTAGTGGTATCTTACCAAGTATTTATTATTAATCTGGGCCAAGTGCACACTGCTCTCAAGTGGAAGGCTGAGATTTAATGAGATTGAATCAATGGGTTTTTAGCAAAAAATAAAATCTCTTTTAAAAAACAATACAGAATGAATTAATGAAAGCATCTCTCCAAGGTCCCCTCACCACATCCCCGTTCCCTACAGTCTCTCAGGTTTGCCTTCCTACCAACCCACATGGAGGCACAGGCTAGCAGATGAAAGATTCGAGGGCAGCATTCTCTGGCCTACCACAAAGAAGCACTCCCCTCCATTCTGCAGGCAAAGCCTTGACTACTCTACCCCAGTACACAACCATGTGAAGGAAGTAATAAATGTATCATTACAGCCATTTTACAGATGAGAATACCAAAATGGAAAAGTCAATGACTCTCCTATAATCACAGAAACAATAAATATCTGAAGCAAGATTCAAACTCCAGACTCAAATTCAGATTCTTTCCACTATACCACACTGCTGCCCAAGTGGAAGAAGTATAAAAAAAAATGTTCACAATAAATGTGTACAATATATATGAAACAGACTGAGTTAGGTAATTTTGGATAACTGTTGTTCGGCACACATTTCAGCCATCTCATTTCAGAGGTACATTTTATATTCTGGTACGTGCAGAGCACTACCTCACCAGGATCCCCTGTGTCTATTCAATCAACTCCAATGGCTCCATATTGCCGCCAGGATTCGATCTAAAACGGTCTGCTGCTACTATGGAAGGGTTTTGTATGACTACACATGTATAACCAGTATCAAGTTGCTTACCTTCTCAATGAAGGTGGGTGGGGAGGGAGGAAGGGAGAAAATTTGGAACCCAAAGTTTTAAAAATAAATGTTAAAAATTGTTTTCACACGCAACTGGGAAATAAGATATACAGGCAATACGGTATAGAAATTTATCCTGCCCTACAGCAAAATTGAAGGGGAAGGGGATAAGAGAAGGGGGTGAGAGATAGAAAGGAGGGCAGATTAGGGGAAGGAGTATTCAGAATGCATGCCATCTTGGGGTGGGGGGAGGGACGAGATGGGGAGAAAATTAGGAACTCTAAATCTTGTGGAAGTGAATGGTGAAAACTAAAAATAAATTAATTTTTAAAAATAGAAAAATAAAAATAAAACGGTCTGTTGGATTGGCCTCCTCCTATTTTTGCAATCTTTTTACACTTCATTCTCCCCTACATACTCTACAATCCAGTAACACTTGCCTTGTCGCTGGTCCTCAAACATATCACTTCAACTGCAGACTCCAAGCTTTTTTTTGGGGGGGGCACTATCCCCCATGCCTAGAATTCTCTCCCTCCTCTTCTCCAAATCCTGGGCTTCTTTCATGTCTGTCTCAGCTAAAATCCCACCTTCTGCAAGAAGCTTTTCCTGATCTCCCTTCATGCTTATGCCCTCTCTCAGTTGATTATCTCCAGTTTATCCTGCCTAGAGCTGTCTGTAAGTTCCGCTTACACAGTTAGTGCAGAGTTGTCTCCCCCGTTCAGCTGTGAGCTGCTTGAGGGCAGGGGCTGTCTTTTGCCTTTCTCTGCATCCCCAGCACTTAGTACAGTGCCTGGCACACACTAGGTGCTTAATAAAGGTTGACTGACAGCGCTAGGTACCACAAGAAAAACAGTACTTGGTCCCAGCTTTCAGAAGTCTAGTGAGGTCCACAACAAGGCAGACAAAATTCACACAGGCATATTAAGATAAGCACATGAGATAAGGGAGAGTGTCACAAAGAAAGTGACATGTGAGCCAGGCCTTGAAAGACAAACAGGATGCTGAAGACAAAGGCCAAATGGTGGCGGGGGTCTTCCACAGACAGCCCCGCCGTTGTCCCCGTTCTCTCACTTCTCTTCAACCTCACCCTAAGATTTCCACGGCTACCTACAAAGAGGCCTTTCTCCCGTCCATCCCCTTTGCAGCCATGCCTTAACTGGCAAATCTAATGGCCTTCCATGGGTCCTCTGCCTTCCTGCGCTCTCTGCAGCTTCTCACACTGTTGATGGCCCTCTTCTCCTTGATACTCTCTTCTCTCTAGATTTTCAAGACTCTCCCCCTACCTGGAAGACTGCCCTTTTTCAGTCTCCTTTGTCGGATCTTCATCCAGGGCACACC